AACTTCAACTTCATCGACTTTGAAAAGGCCTTCAACAGCGTCGACCGAGAAGTAATCTGGCAACTGCTTTGACAATACAGAGTGCCACAAACACTTATCAACCTCATTCAACAACTATATGAAGACACCACATACCAAGTAATTCACAATGGGAAGCTCAGTGATACCTTTGAAGTGAAGATAGGAGTAAAACAAGGCTGTTTACTATCACCCATGATCTTCCTGATTGTGGTCGACTGGATCATGCAACAAACTGTGAGGAACGAGAAGAGGAGGATAAGCTGGTTGGACCGGAGAAAAGATCCTAGAAGATTTAGATTTCGCCGATGACCTGTGTCTAACGTCACACAAACTCGAAGATCTACAGGCAAAATCCAACACGTTGACAGAAGAGGGAGGGCAGCGAAGACGGGACTTCCTTCAGGTGAACGTAGAGAAGACAGAGGTGATGAATATGCCCAACCAACAACAACAACAAGCTCCAATCACCATCAACGGGAGAAACTTAAAGGAAGTAGCCTCTTTCACTTATCTAGGCAGCATTGCTTCAACTACAGGTGGCGGCGGCATAGACGAGGACGTCAAAGCCAGCCAGGATCGGAAAAGCAAGACAGGCGTTCATCAACCTGAAACCAGTGTGGAGATCTTCTACACTCAGCATAAAGTACAAGATCCGGATTTTTAACACCAATGTCAAGTCAGTGCTTCTACATGGTTCAGAAACTTGGTGCGTTACGAAAGGGATTTCCAACAAACTACACACATTCGCTAACAACTGCATACGCTCACTCGATACTGAAGATGGAGATCAGATGGCCAGAGAGAATAAGCAACAAGGAACTCTGACTGGCAACGGACTAACCAAGAACCTATCGCTCAACAAATATGCAGAAAAAAGTGGAAATGGAGATGGATTGGAGTGGGCATGCACTGAGAAGACCATTCGGAGACATCACGTGCCAGGTCAGGCACTCGAGTGGAACCCAGATAGGAAATAACGGGTTGGGCGTCCGAGGTGAGGGTGACATGGAGGTCGTGTGAGAAAGAAATGAGAGCTTCTGGGCTGTCGTGAAGCCAGGTTGAAAAGATTGCAGAGAACAGAGTGGGATGGAGACGTGCTACTAAAGCCCTATGTTCCACTAGGAACCCTAGGGACAAATAATATAATAATGATAATAATATGATGCAACCAGTCTCCACAATAATGTATCAATTAAAAAGGCACTAAAAGCAGTCAGAAATGAACTCAGTGATGATTAACAGTTCAGAGTATCAGTAGAATAAATTATTCTAGGGACGAGATTGTGCCCAACTTCTGTTTCTTTCAAGTTTCAAAATGAAATATACAAATAGGCAGAAGGAGTACCCAAGGGATTCCCATAGATGTATTTATGGACAGAAATTTGGGAAGAAATAAGCCCTAGGACATTCAGCCATGCTCCTAAAATATAATGAAGATACGTAGATGAGAAATTCACTGTGTTGAAGTCAAAGCATACTGATAAATTCAGCCGTAGATCTAATTTAGTTTATTTATGACTCCGAAAGGGATGAAGCATTGCAGAATGTAAAGGAGACAAAGTGGGTACTAAAGTCTACAGACAACCTACGCATTCGAATCTGTGCTTAAACTTCACCTCATCTCATATTAGGTAAACTAGGTGGAATGAAATGTTCAAATAGCAGAAAGAAAGCGTATGTAGTGAAATAGAAAATCTACGACAGGAAATAAGGGAACCTCGGTACCCAACAATTAGCTTGGTAAAGTGATTCAGAAATGCGTAATAAATTGTAAGAGATGAGTAACATACAAAGAGATAATATACATACTAATAATAATGGAAATACTTGGAAACGAGACTTCAAAACCCTTATGATTTTACCATGCAAAGAAGGTATCTCGGAATTTTTACACAGGATTCTCAAAAGGGTTGGTATCAGACTGGCATTTGAACCCGCTGAAAAGTTTAGCTTATCAGACTGGATTCAAAGTTTGTTAGGTCAATTCGATAGGTAAAAGTAGTTGAATGGAGTCAACTAAAGTAACTGGGCATCGCATCCAGAATGGTAGACTCTAGTAAAATGTGAAATCTAGAGAAAATCTCAGCCATAACGACTCCCGTAATCACACAAAATTACATAATAGGATGAGAAAAAGTGATACTCCTTGAAACTAACTTGTCATGGTACATATATAGCATGATGAGTTTTTGTTTATCTAGTCATTATCAGACACATGCATCAGGAACGATTCAACATCTATTCCGGATATCTAGAAAGTTCTACTACCCATAAGACAAATGAAGAAGAAGAAATTGGACGATAAAAGCAAACTGTGTAGTCACCTTTGGCATGATTATGGACAATAAATTCTTCCTAAAACATCATCCAGTAGACAACAATGTTTCCCTGCGTGAAACTATGAAATTATCCACCATCTTAGTGCCTCTTACATTAAAAAGGGTGTGCTTCTTCGAAGGTGTCGAAGAGTGTATACATGTGCAACAATGTCACCAGTTTTCAGCGCCATTCCCAAAAGTCTTTAAACGTGAATTCTTGTTGTCTTGGGGACTTGAACCACGTAGTCTACATCTGCCTACATTGCTTAGGATAACAGTCAGAGACTTCATAAACCGGTACCATATTTCAGTCTGGCCACCCTGAGCCTTCTTCCAACCCAACCCAACATCGTGCCTCGAAGATGGTAGAGGCTAGGCATACACGACACATATCCAAGTTACCTCAGTCAGTGTAGGTAGCTTAAAAATTCAGTGGCTAAATTGACTTCTTTTTCCAATACTGTACACCTAGTCTCACCATTGTTCACGCACCAATAATAGTGATTGCCCGAAGCAATGAACAGCATCACAGCATAACGCACTGTACAATAGAACTCATTTTTAAAATGAAACAGCTATGGCAATCTAGTGATAATTCTTTGAGTAAACAATCCAGGGAGATATAAGGTCAATTACCACACAAACTGTATATACCAACCCGGTAGGAAACTATCAAGTATGTGGAACATAAAAACCAAGGGGGAAGAATCTTCTTGTGACAACCATGGGGGAATTAGTCTGACTAACATTGTGTCTAAGATCCTAGGATTCACAGTTATACGATGCCGAACTGGAGCTCAAGAACAGCAAACTAGAGAAAACCAGGCAGGTTTAAGACAGCTGGACGATAGTGCATCGATCATATTTTCACCTTCCAACATGTCCTGGGACACAGACGTACTTAAAAGCAGCTGACAAGCCATATTTTTTACCTGAAGGTGGCATTCGACAGTGAGATGTTGTGGTAGTGCCTGATTGTGAAGAGATTACCGAGATAGTACATAATTCTAATCAAAGCTCTCTACTCGAACTTATGCAGCCATGTTAGGGCTAATGGAGAATTTTCATGTGAACTGACAATAACTAGTGGTGTCCGCTAGGGATACCCAATGTCACAGTTCCTATTTAACTTCGTCATAGATGTAATAATGAACAAAACCTTAGCTACTTCTGACTTAACATGGATTGACCTACTATCTGGAGGTTGTCAGGCTGACCTGGAGTATGCAGACGGCATTTCCCTGCTGTGTAAAGACGCTGACAAAATGCAAAACAAGCAATTTAGGAGTAAAAGTTGGCCACTATGGTAGATTGCAGTTCTATCTTAATTTGTTAATTATAATTGTCACCCAGTGGAATAGTATTACTTACTGGATAACGTTTTGGATACGATTTATTGTCCACATTCATACCAGGTAACTCAACAACTTTTATGACAGTTTCTATAGTTCTAATCCCTCTTTCTTTGTGATGATAGATGCAGAATCACTTCTATTACACGTATTTGTTGTTGATTTTATAAACAACGATTCGGTAATCAATCTCTCTCTCTCTACCCAACTAGGTTAGTTTTCAATACTGTCGTTCTATCCCACCCTATTGTCTGATTGTGTCCAATTGCGTGAAGAGCTATAACCCAGCTTTTCTCCAAATTCCGCATCTTAATAGGATCTACCAATCCTGATTTAGCCAAGTTTTTGTGTTCTGTCAAAAGGAACTATTCTCATATACAGTGGCCACGGGTATAAGAATAAATATATTTAACTAGCACGATATACCATTATCCGTAACACAATAACAGGTTACATGTGGAATTCACCAGACTGTGTACAGCATCTACTGTTTGAACGATAAACATACTTGAAAGCTGCTCAAATCACAGATGAATACGACATAGACCTTTAATTTTATTTCGCTACAAAACAGAATTGTATAAACAAGCATTGTTGGTTCAAAGTTTAAAGATAGCAGACAACACCATCTTGATTTTGTTTTGCTACTTCCATCATATTTTTTATAACCACTGACTAACACGTTAAAAACAGGAACACTGAAGAAACTGAAATATGAATAATAAACCAGAGCACACAGCACCAGTCATCCATTAAATCACTCACTACCAGCAGATTAAGTTATGGATAAAAGTGAATGGGTTTTTGGTTGAAGAATCTCAAGATGTCAGACATCGCAATCAGAATGATACCAATTCACTTATTCATCAGTATATTTCTCCATATTTTCTTAAATACAGTTCTCAACTATTTCCTCAATATCCACTTTATTGAATTTCTCTGTTCTATTTTAAGACTTTATAATCATATTTAATGAACTGTTTCACAATATTTTTAACTTTCACTAAGGAATTTATGTTTTTACAACTCAGTAACGCGAAATATGTTAGCCGATTAACGACAGTTTATAACTTTAGACGATTATGTCCTCTTTACGGTATTGCTTCAAGTCACAAGGGAATAACGGAATAAACCAGAAGCAATATAAAAACGGGCTAAAGGGAAGACGCCAGTAGTTTGGCTAAGGTGTTTGCAATAAGAGATAGACACATCTACAGGCCCCGCGTGCTCTTCGGAGTCGCATCAACTAATGTCCCTAAAGCATCGGCTTTTACTACCGCTCTCACGGACGTCAGCTACTCAGCCCAGATCGAAAACCTGTACTCCTTTATTTCAACAAGAAACATCATCGTGTAATCAGCAACCAAGATGATTTATACATTTAACATAAATCAAATCAAAATGTGTCTAGAAAACAAACAGGTAATATCACAAGCGAAAGTTGCATGGGGGAGAGACTTCAAAATACATACGAGAAGAAAGAGGAGAAGAGACTGTACAAGTTCATAACTTTGAACACTTGTGTGCAAGATTCGATTCGCCTAGATATACAAAGTGAAATCGAAGATGGATATTAAAAAAAGAGCAGAGAGATGAGGATGTTTTTCCCCAAAAAAGACCTCCTTTCACTATAACTAGCTCAGAGAAAAAAAGTCGTACAATAATCATGTTCTCATACCACTAACACGATAATTTGTTGCAACCGATGAAGAGTAAGCAACTTTCTTTTCACTGAAGAAATTCTTTAAGATTGTCACTTGTCCAACTGTAGTCACCACGACAACAAATGTGATAATCACACTCCAAACAAATACAGCTGAATTCAAATCTTCAGCAACTAAGAAATCACCATAATCACGATTTCTCAGTTCAATGTCTAAACTTTCAGCACGTGAAAGAAAATGATGCAACACTTCAACAACACTATCCAGTAAACTCATGACAGTTGGGTAAACAGGTAATCCAGCCTCTTCAGCTAATGATTCATAATCTTCTGGTCGAATTTCAAAATATACCAGTTTATGCGATACAGAAGAAAACTCATTACTGAAGCAAAAAGAATAAGTCCCGTTTGTAGAGACTGTTGTGAAAACGATATCATCTTCTGTACCACGTTCCACACTGGAGACAACCTGTTGTCTAGGATCTTTGATTGTAATATCCACATCTGTTTGACCTCCATGAATTACATGATAGCTAAACACATACTTTTTCAAAGCTGGAAGATTTTCATAAAAACACATTGCTTCATTATCAGGCAATTCAAACGTTAATCGTCTTGGATAACCATTTGAAAATTCTAGTAAATTTGAATCAAGAATATACTGAAAAACATAGATGAGATTCTGAGGTAAAATTGCCGACCAGTCATTAGTTAAACCTGAATTGATGTAAAGAAAATTAAGTAAAAGTCAGTAATTTACTAACAGCTACATTAAGCGCTAAAAATGTTAAAAATTCCTTAAATTATTTTTAAATAAAGTATGAGAAATGAATAAGTTTATGAATGTCAGAGAACACCAAATTTTAAAAAACCTACAAAATTACACTTGTACACTCCTCGTATGTGACTTTCCTTTTTATTACCGTTCACCGAGAACGGTGACCATAAGCATCATCAGTTCAACTAAGTTCCCAGTCAACAATGTTTATCGGGGTCAAGATAGTGAATAAAGAGACAATCAAGGGTCAGAAAGTTCTTGCTGTACACACTGCATCTACCACATACTACTCAACTGTTTACCGTCATTTGTGTATGAGAATTTCACGGAAGTGGCAGTTACCATTCACATACTATGCAGTGTAGAACTGGCGATATTGTTTACAGGTATCATTAGATTATAATTGTAACATTATCTAAACAACTGTCTACGGGAAAGGAAGTGCACTGCGTAACATTCAGCTTCCTCAATCTTACCAACGACGTCTGGATTTACGGAGTGCTGGACCCAATCTTTCTGCATCGTTATATTAATTCTTTATGTATACACTGATAAGAAGCATTCACAGACATTTTCATTGTGCAATTACAGTAGCAGCAAGATCCTTTGAGAAAAGTTGGAAGAAATGCATCTCCAGTAGAGAGTAAGACATCTGCTGCTGAACACCTCGACTATACGCAAAATAGTAATGGGAAGTGGGTTCTGTTAGTGTTAACCAGTAGTCCCAACAACAAAACCAAAATATAGAAATCCACTCAGCAACCTTGTGCACATTCGTTCAGTAGGAAGTGACCCACACCTATTGTGTGAGGGCTAATAATATACTATTTGGCTACCAAAACCTCGGTAGGGAGTAGGGAGAGCAGGGTTCGAACTGGTGGTCCACTGGTGGATTTGGGCAGTGAGGTAGTATTACGCGCCCTAACACACTAGGTGTGGCTTATAGCTGATTACACGAACCTGTACAAGGTTTCTGAGCGCATTTCAATTTCACTCCGGTCGCTTGTGGCCGTTATCCTTTACCTACACCAAGTAAGTGCACACTTGGATACTCAAATACTACTTTAACAGGAGCGACTAAGTTTCCAAAAACTTAACAATACCACCATAGAATAGTTCGAAAATACTAACTGTAACATGGAAATGCCAGTTATATAATTTGAAAAGTCGATACGGCTATTGAATGCTCTTTTCTTATTAAACCTTTTTGTTTCCAAAATGTTTTTTGGCCAATTGGCATACACTACTAGACGAATGACAAGCCTCACCATGACAGCTGAATAGACATAGTTGAAACTACGGAACAAAGGCGACGCTAGTTAATTACATCTAGCAAGTGAATGACAGTAGATAGACAGATAGATGCATAATATCATGGGATCTGGCATTACTGCGTAACAGTTCAAGTCGCAACACCTCAAAACAGCACAACAAACGAGAGTGCATCAAGATGGAAGATCAAAAAACAAGAGAAAACGCAGTCAGAAGTAATAAAGTCATCAAAAGAGAGTTAGCAGGAATGAGATGACAGTGAAAACCGGATAAAGATTAAGATGAAGATAATGTGTGGACACATCGCCAATGACACCGATTCCGAGTCATATCACCTAAAGTATCTAATCCCTGGTTCCTGCTGTCACGCGCACCACAACCAGGAGGTAGACATTTGACTACATGGTTCAGACTGACAGTTGAAAACTTCATGGCTGATGCCATGGTCTGGTCACCTGTAGCCCTTTTCCATCCTGAACCTATCGCAGCCAACACTGTGCAACAAGAAAGACGGTGTGGGCATGTACAACATATCTTCCAGCCACCTCAGTTGATAAAGGCTCACATCACCAACTAACCTTCTTCCCTAAACGCTACACCTGACTTCTGCGTTACTGATATGCCACCACAACACAAGGTTTATGCTTATGGTCAAATTTCTTCAAACTTCTCGGGTTCACCTTCGATGTCTTTGATTCACAACCACAGGAGAGAACAGGATGAAGGCTAACGCAGTATCCCTGATCTTAAATATATTTAGGAACTGCCCACTCAACATTTTCGTGGCACAAAACAGGGAGCCAAGGGGGAAAATTGCATTTAAAACTCCTGACAGCAACATTGTCACGTTTCTTGCCTGCGCCTTATTTCGGTTTGCGACTCGTTTTCCTTCATGGTTACAGCTTTTCCTCTGTACTTTGTTACGAAGGTACATTTTCTATATATATATATGAAAACTGGAGGCTATGGAGCTGCGACTGAATATTGACTGTCTTTGGTCGACTCTGCTCAACAGCCGTCTATTCTAGGCCGAATTTCTTACTCGATGACGACGGAAGTCTTCTTAATTTGTATTTATGGTGGTTTCAGTGAACCAGATGATATGACGTCATACCTTAATGCGCTTATAACGGAGTTGTCAAGTATTTTGAAGAATAGCGCTTCAATAGCTGCTTTAAACCACCTTGTCCAACTTAAGTTAGTGGCTGCAGCTTACGACACCTCGGCCCGTTCATCAGTGAAAATATCTGGTTATATTTTGATGGTGTGCGACAAGTGTGAAGCTGAATGCTTCAGAGGTTTCCGTATGGTCTTTACCGCGGGGAGTACAAATATCGATCTAACCTATAGTTCCGTATGTGAAACGATGCACCTCACCATAAAGATCATTCACCCTTTAAAAATTGAGCGTAGAAAAATAACATGCTTTCGTCTTGACTATATGCATGCGATATGTCGTGATGCTGTCCAGAAACTGATTAATTTATGAAAGCAGCTGTCAGAAGACCAAAAGTACAATATGTCTTCGGTAATTCCGAACGATACAGACGATAAAATGCTGAAGGACTCAAGCCCCGCTCCAACTACCCAGGTTTGGGTAACAAGATAGTATCATTAGCCCGCACACTATAGGTCTGGATCAAATACACAAGGTAGTTGAGTATGCTTTTTTGAAGTAGAACCATACATCCCGAGATTACCAGAGGGACTACCGACTACTACCCTGCAGTAAGCAGTGGAAAGCTACAGAAGGTTCAGTGGTCTTATGTGGCATACTACTGAACCTCCTATTCCTGAACTTCATGGAGTTGTCGGTGTCCACTTACTTCTTACGCCTTCCTAGGTATAGCTTACAGTTCGCAGACATCATTGCACATCAACTTAGGCACTCCGTTAACAAGTACGCATGAATTTACGGGAACTAGCAGGCAGTGTTCAAAGTGCATGCGGTCACACACTTGCCTAAAGATGTCAAGCAGCATGGCTGTGTTGATAAATTCTACTGTTTCCCGTTTGAATCGCATCTACGATACTTGAAACAAACACTGCGTGGCACCACACTGGCAGCGTTAATTGCAGCTGCTTGGCTTCGCAAACTGGAGGCCCTGGGAAACAAGAGGTGTATGCCCTTCCAGGTGGATACAGTTGACATTTGTAAACAAGTATGAATGAAGGCAGGGACTCATATCTCGATCATGTTTCCTGATAAGGTAAACCAGTGACTGTAACCAACATTACGGAGGACGGAATGCTGGTCATACGGTACTACTAAAACCCCATTGTCTTATTTCAGACACCATTTGCCTCACCAGCCATCTACATGTATAAAGCCTTACAATTGTCACCGAATATGGATACCATTGTAGTCGACAGCATTGACCTCAAATCAGTCTGCATTACGATGTTAAACGCTTTCGGTATACTTCCGGTGCCTCATACTTATAAAATGGGGTTTTGTGATAATAGCATACGTTATCTTATGGCTCCGAAGATATGAGGTAGTAATGCCCTCCTATTTGACACCTATTAATACGTAATATATACATAACTCTTTCATTTTATGAGCAGTTACAAAATATTATATTCCGACGGTTCGAATTTTCTTCATTTAACGTCACGACCTTTAGGTAATCATGTTTCCCTTTCAGATGAAAGCTAATGCATTTACGGTGGTTCATTTGAAAGCCAAAGAGCAATTTGCTGTTGTCAACTCAAATTGGTTGTCCAAACCAAACCTTATGCAATAGCGGGATGACCTGTGTCCAGATGATATCCAGCAGCACACTGGGCCTTCGGACGGTTGGTATCTTATCAGCATGTGCAGTCCCAAAGGTGTGACTAGAAACTAATACTTCATGCCCTCAGATACGCAGGCCGTGGGTGTGGAAGCAATGACACTGCAATAAAGTAAAGCAAATTGCTTCAACATCTGCATCCTTTGCATCGAGTAGCAAGGTACCTATGTCCAGAGTACCTAAGAAGGGGTACCTCCCTTACAACTTAATTTTAGTCGACTTCCCTTTGTCACACTGTTAACTTGTCAAACTTAATCGTTGACAAATCGCCTTCACCAATTATAGAGAACCCAAACTTCCACTTTAGCAACCCGGAATACTCAACGTTGTTAAATCAGTTGGACGTGTATTACATTCTCATGCACCTTAAATGTTTACAATCGAACGATGGAGGTAGTCAGCAGCACACTTATTTCGTAGGTTTTCCTTACTGCCTAGTTACCTCCAGGCTACAGGTCACCCGCTATGCCTTCATCGCAAGTGCATACTGATGGACAATCAGCTTCGTAAATCCCAAGTTAACTGTACACACACTTTCCCCTATAGCCCTTACAAAAACCCTTTTGAAGCAACTTCATCTACTAAAGCAGACTGAGATGCTATGATAACGTCTAGACTATTTGGAAAAAGACGGCAATGCAGACGCAGACTCTTATGTGCTTGCTTAGACATACATCAACAAGCGTTAACACTGGCAGTCACTCACAAAATCCCGATTGATACTGGTCCACCCATAACATCTGTGGAGGGGTTTGAAGCAATAGAAGTGAAATAAGGTGATTTCTGTACACGCTTTGTAGATCGTGCAAATACACAGACCAACCCCCCTAATATACAGACATATACAACATAAACTCCAGTAACATGAAAACAACATTGATCGCAATGTTGTCACACATTTTAAGACGAATTCACTCGCCGTCTTTGGCCTAGTACGAAGCTGAAGAAAGGGAGCAAGCAAACTAGGATTGAATTGACTGTCCGAAGTCCTAATTTGTATCTTTAATTTATAATTCTCAGGAGCAATTAGAAATTTTCAGTTACTGAAAGCTGAATGTGTAAGCAGCCTTGACAGCAAGTACAGAAAACATATGAAGGCGTGGTTTCACAACCTTCGGAACCAAGACGGTGGGGGGGATGAGAAGACGACTGCCTACCGAGGTAGGCTTCACTAATTCTCAGTTACACCCATTTTCAGAGCGGGGAAGCCAGAAACAATCAATTATGGGAGGTTGTAATACCCAATGTCAGTGAAGGAAGTTGGAAAGCAATGACTGAGTGACTGCCAGCACTCTTTGTGACGAAAAACTGCTTGACTTTTCTACTGCCTGATAATAAATGCACAATTATACAAAATTTCACTGTATTGCAACACTTTCACCTATACATCCCTGTAGGGTACGGTTAGTCTAAGGACATGTTGCGATTTTTCCTAAATAATTTGACATACAGGGCCTGGACGAAATCTGATATCCAAGTTCAATAGTGAGAGTGGAGGAAGCTTGTAGCTTACAAGCTTCCGCTTCTAGGTCTTGAGACTCGGTTCTTTTTGATCGGTTATACTTCCTCGGTGGTCGCAGAAGTCTTCGTCTTTCCTGCTTACAGCTCTGGAGGTAGGGATTATCTATTTGAAGGTACTTCTTGCAGTGAACTAGTTGCCTTTCAAAAATATACCTTCATAACAAAGTAAAAATGGAAAGTTGTAGCCATGAAGCATAGGGCAAACTGGTGGGAAAATAGGGAGGAAACGCAAAACGCGAGCACCCAATCGATAGAACACGAGGCAATTTGAACGAACATGGAGTAAAAAGCTGAGCCAGAAAGGCACTGGGTAATACTGCAAAACTCAATTTTTTTTCAATGTAATTTTGACTCGTGAACTTTTGCTTTGCGCCGCGGGGTGTTGCATGGGCACTATGACTGGCATAAGTTGGTAAAAGCCAGAAGAGACTTTGTGTGCATGGTGATATGACATCCCATCAAGCCTGAAGTGAAACGGAAAGTTAACCATACCTGTAGTGTTTCTGTAGCGAAGTAAGCGAACGTTGGCAGCCGCCAACAAACAACTTTTTAAAGTTGCGCAGTCTTTTTAATGGATACAAACGATTTCAATTTCCAACATTGTGGTTTTTTCAAAAAGTCCCATGAAGAATAGAAGTCCTGCTAGAATGGCTTCCAGGTTTAGAAGCAGTGTACCACAGGCTGCTCTAGATGCTAAAGAAGGAAATTCGTTGGTATGTAGCAAGTGGGAAGAATCAGTGATTGGCATTTGGGTCTGCAGGTTCATGCAGGATCACTCCTTAAGGTTCTTTAACTTTTATTTGCTTCTATGTATCCACCATGGATGCTTAAGTCGTCCTCTCTCTTTACAGATGGCGTGAAACTCTGAGAATTTACCGATGGTACCGAAGATAGGTTAACGCCTTCAATCCGCTTAAACGAGCCGACTGAGTGGCTTGATCTCTGGTTTCTGGAAGCCGACCCCAGCAAGGATGTAGTGCTATCACCTGTCAACTGCTTGGTTATCATTCAGCTTCTGAATAACACTCCCTTGGGCATGGGGAATAGAGTCTTGGATTCAACCTTATTTTTCCAAAAGAATGTAGTCCCCATTTTTCGGAGTCAAATGTTCTGACTAGTCAATTGGTAAAGTCGGTGTGCCGCAACGTTCCGTCCTTCCCTCACCCCTCCCCCCTTCCTTTTTTGAAGGTCTACCCGCCCCAGCCGAATCCAATTGTGTTTGGTAGGCGAATAACCTAGCAGCATCCATTCCGGTCACCTATTTAAATTGTCCTCAGTTCAACAACTTCTCAATAGAAATTGACCACTGTTCCTCCGTGAATGGCCTCATAGTGAATCTCCCAAATATCAGACGTTTACTTTCAGCCTGGGATATGGACATGGTTGATGTTAACTGCTTCAGTCCCATGACTCTTGTCTCATCGGTGTCTCTTGGTGGGGAATGCCAGATATGATCCGTTATTCTTTGCTTTTCTTGTCATCTGTTTGGCTCCTCTCAGCTAACTCACCTCGGGAAAGATTCCCTATTTGGCCTTTTATATAAGGGAACCAAGACCATCTTGCATGACCCGGCCACTACTTATTCGTTTCAATAATTCCTGTCTTTTACCTATACTTGCTTATTGTTCCCACCTATTCCTCCCTGGACTGCGAAAAAAATATGCTGCATTGAGTAGGACCTTGAAGGATGCTGGTAGAAAGAGTGGAACACAACTAACTGTACTGATAAGTGCGGTTGTGGATATGAATCTGGACTTTTATAGGCAGTTGGCTCAAAATGTTTTATATGATGATAAGCATCTTCCGCATCTGCATCTTTCTCCTCAATGAAAACAAGAAGAAAATATACTGAACACTAAGCACACAAAAGTACGTTAAAAATTCAACTATGCCATCCTATTTGGCCTGCGTATCGCTTCGAGAAAATCTTGTCAGAAATAATCTTAGCAGTCAGCTTTGTGAGAGCGAAAAGTTATCATTACCCTGAAGTCAGTGCCGGAGTCACCGATGAGGTACAATAAGTAAACAATTTGTGCATACACTCCCTCACAAACTTTTCATCATGTCCCAAGCAACAAGTAAAAACTGCTACAATGGAAGTATTAGCTCCAAGCTTTATGTTTATCCAGGTAATACATGTAGTGTTGAGATACAACCCTAGTTTTTTTATTAATGCGAAGTCAATACTTCCACGTGTCCAGCTTGTAAATTTTTGCATACTTGTTCTGCTGGGATTTTCCATTAGGTGAACATGAAGCACTTGTATCTTCTGGTGAAAATAGGCAAGGATTGGGACTACCTTCCATGGAGATACATGTAATTTATATAGAAACTTATTCGTACCCGTAAAAACGGTGTGTGCCTGTATATTCGGGAATAAATATTATTATTATTAAGCACTTCAGCAATCCTGTTATCCTGGAGTTATGTTGCCCGACGCTTCCGCTGTTAGCATACATCTAAAAAATGCCGCACAGTGGGTAAGCTGACTCGACATCACATGCTGAGAATCCTGTGGCGTAAACAAACCTATGGCTTAGAATACAGGAAACATATTGTCGTTAGAAAGGCAAGTAGGGGCCATTGTTAGCCACAGCCCGAGACCGAAAACACATCGTAACTTAGTCACGGCCAAAGCATTCCTGGCAATGACGTCACTCGACGTGGTCTTTAGGTGCTTTGCTAAGGACACATTCCATAAGTCATACCTTACGTACCCAGGACCCCACCTTGAACACCGCACATAAGTGGTCAGCCCTTACTTTAAGAAGGGAGCAGAAACTCTGAGGTCGGTGCAGACGACACGTTCAAAGTTAGCGACAGAACTTTCGGACCTTCCCTATAAAGTGGCCGATGGGGGGGGCGGGTAAATGTCTTTCCGTCATCATTTCGAAGGTGCGTAAGTGGTCCTACTCTCGCCCATCATATCGTGTGTTGATCTTCACATTCTTCTTACTCCTATTACGGATAATATCATGGGCGGCTATCCAGAAGCCATGGGTGAGTAAGCTATCAGTGGCACTTCAACTTCATCAAACGGAGTTCAACAACTAAAACTTGCCGCTGGAACTAATGGTGCCAGCTCTCTTTGTAGTTAACTTACCCAAGAAAGGATGATCCGAAAGTGATGCATACTGCATGGGGTAACACAGGCTACTTGGTCTACTGTCGTGAACACTGTGGAATGAAGAGTGGAAATAAATTGAACGTCATGAGTAAAGCGAATCTATTTTGACTCTATTCACATCATTAGTATGTGTGAAGCCGGTGACCAGACACGTTTGACGATGCAATCCAAACCACCTTCTCGGGAGGCAGTTTTCAAGACTCAACAAATCCTCAAAAAAATTTTGAGGGGTTGTGGAGATTTGGAATTATTTCAAGTTGTTATTCATCGAAGACTGACATACTAGGACGAAACAGCCGTCCAGTGCTCCCAGGTTTCCTTTGTTCCTCCAACTGATGTCGGTCTTCAATGAATAACAACTTGAAATCCTCAAAAGTTGAAAGTACCCCTGAAACCTAGCTGTCTGCGTTCCACATCTGAATTCTGTGGGTACCCTCCAGTAGTGGAGATACAAACAAGACTGGGCAAGCGGCTAAATGAGTGTCCAGAGGTGTTCGACAGATGATGTGTTGAAATCGGATGCCCTAGTATTCCCAGTTTCTTTTGGGCATACGTCCTCAAATGGACTCAGTTCACGGCATCCAGATGAACTTTATACTCATTTTGCCTCTTTAAGATAGAAGAACAGATACTAATTCCAAACCCAGGGTCAGGCCATCTGAAGCCATCGAAGAGCCGACGAAATGCTCATTTTCGAATCGTCTGAGTTGCTGCAGTGTGATTGACATGAAGTGGGATTTAAGTCATTGGGGGCCCAGGGCACTGAGATAGGTTCCTATTCTTTAGGCCTCTAGCCTACCACCACCGGGTCTTAATATACAGTGTACATTTCGTTTCCCGTAGACCATCTTGTTTCCTTCAGGGTTAAATGAAAGTCCACTTATACCTGCCAAAGTTCGAAGCCACGTCAAATCTTCCTTTCAGCGAATGTTATCTTTACGAATTCCAATCCTCCTGCATTATTCCACGCCGTCGGTAAAAAGGAAGAGCATTGAAACATGCTCTCTGTGGCAGGTAGTTTACGAATCCCAAACAACCCCACCGTGAGACTGTTCGTCTTCAGAAAAGGAAAACATTTCTAGAAATCATAACAAGCGGGGATGTAGGGGCACTAAGCGCTGCATTAACTCCACTTGGCTTTAGCCTATCAATATCGCAGGATAACATGCCCCTTAAGCGCCCAGAGATATGATGTCATTTTTGCCACGACAAACAACATTGCTAGTCCGCTCTCCTCGTGTAGTTTGTCACTTAGTGATGCAAGTGCGCCCTTCTCTAAATCCGTTGTTGGGGCATCTGAAGAGGAAGCGACTTGAAGCGGGCCTCTAACGCGTCACAGATCAATGGCCTCACCGCTATGAAAGCCACGAAAGGAGAGTTACTAACCTTTACTTATTCAAGCTTTTACTTTGACCGCTTTGGAAGACAGGTATTATATGGCCTAAATTCCAGATGCTCAGCATAAAGTTCTTGACTTGGGGAGTCTTTGGACAATGCATAGCCGAAATTGTTGCCCTCCCACGTGGAAGAGATATGAAAACTTGTTGCGGATCTGGAGGATTAGCTTTTGTTAGCTTGGTGAATTAAACCAAAGTCCACGACATGGCAGGTGGGTAGATTGTATATACCTGGGGATGCAGCATGTGATGGGGTTTCGGATGGTAATAGGCTAAAAGCTTCGCTACCTTAGTGTCACCATCGCTGAACCAGTTGACGTTTAGAACCTACTTCATGAAAGTGGCAGTTTTATTTTCACATTCACCAGTAGACTGAACACAACAATTAACCTTTTTCTTCGGTATTACTAATTTCATTGCTGACCACAGCGACTGTAGCTTCCCATACCCGTCACCGGGGTTACCCTGTGGCTCTACTATCACCGACTACCAACCATCATTAGCGATACCTCATGTTAGTTACTTCTTGATGAATCGTGGTGCCCGCGTTACCTGCTTATGGAACTTTTATCAGACATTGTTATTCACCTGCGCTTCCATTAATGATTCTTTTGGTTCTACCCCGAGGAATGTTTAGCATGACGTCCTCCAAGGGTTCACGCACAGTACGTCGTAGACAACCGATTGTAAGCCATTTTTAGAATGGGTTCAGCCGTCCTGTATCCCTGAACAGCCTGCGCTGTAATTTTACTATTCTCTTGTTGGCACCTCTAGCACCGGTTTATGTGCGGATGCACGCTGAGAGACGTGCGGTAGATAGTTAATGGGATAAGGATCAATGATGTCTTATATTTAACGCCTCATTTCTCACAACAAGGTAGAGACACAACGCTCAATCATGGCCACGTTTGGCCTTTCAAAGATTACGACTGCGGGAGACGTTGACACTAAGGGTGCTGGCGCAGTGCACTCTAATATGCCTAGTAAACTCCGAAAATGTCCTCGCGGTCCTTATTAACACCAAAACACAAATTCTTCGACCCGAT